CCAGGGAAGGAGCATTGGGAAGCTGTGAAGTGGATCTTGAGGTACTTAAAAGGTAGTGCAAATAAGTGCTTGAGCTTCGGCAAAGGAAACCCAGTTCTTGAGGGTTATACAGATGCGGATATGGCAGGTGACCTGGATAGTAGAAAATCTACTACAGGACTTGTGTTTACATTTGCAGGAGGAGCTGTATCTTGGCAATCTAAATTGCAGAAATCTGTTGCCTTGTCGACTACTGAAGCCGAGTATATTGCACTGACAGAAGCAGGAAAAGAAATGCTTTGGTTGAAGAGGTTTCTTCAACAATTGGGAATGAAGCAGGAAAGGTACGATATCCATTGCGATAGTCAGAGCGCATTGGATTTAAGTAAGAATGCGATGTACCACTCTCGCACGAAGCACATTGATGTCAGATATCATTGGCTACGTCAAGCAGTGGAAGAACAACATTTCAAGTTGGAAAAGATTCACACTGACGAAAACCCTGCTGACATGATGACGAAAGTTGTAACAGGAGAAAAGCTTCAACATTGTGCCGAATTAATCGGCATGGAATGCATGTAAAGATCTGCAGTATATTTCCTTTTGGCTGGAGGGGGAGAATTGTAGTATCCAGCATCAAAAGGAAAAGTCAAAATTGGTGGGCTTAGCCACCATTATGGAAAGAAGAAAAATTGTCACACGCCTACAATAAAGAAAAATTGAGGAAGGTGCAGCCGGTTTTTTTTCTTTGTTCACATGGCATTTCCCCTCTATAAATAGAGGGGGTTTCAGCAGATGGAAACGCACCAAACAGAAAGAAAAAAAGAGAGAACAAGAGAGAACAGAAATAATATTTCTGTGAGTGTTATTTTTCAGTGAGAGAAAAATAGAGTGTTTGAGTAAATCCTGTGAGTGTGGGAAAAATACACCGGGTCGGGTATCATCTCTATTACTCCTTGTTTGTAATATTTGAATAGAAGTGGAATTTCACTGGGTCACTATATTTTACATTTCTAGTGCAGGGGAGTGTGAAAAGATATTGTAATTATCTTGAAAATATAGTGAAATTGTTCGGAGGTTGTCCCGTGGTTTTTTCCTCTAATTGGAGGTTTTTCCACGATAAATCTTGGTGTCTTCTTTCTTACATATTTTATTTATTTGGGATATTCTTAGTATGCTCTGTGGTCGCAGTTTAATCTGATCTTCCACATCAGAAAAGAATTATTCCTGTTTTATTGCAAGAGATTTTCTTTTGTCATTCTTGAGTTGCTGAGATTGGGATTATTGTTCACCATTTCAAGTTGGTGTTTTAATTTACACCTTCCGCATTTGCGCATCTGAGCCCAACACTGTCATCTACAAATTATATCGCCTAGCACTACGATTTTGAAATAGTTTCTTACCATGGCCACGGTTTTGGAATAGTTTCTTACCATGGCCATGAATTACGCGAAGAGGCGAACACACTTTAATCAGAATTTGTGTATTTAATAACTATATTCATGTACAAAAAGAACAATTGAAACAATGTAATTCAAATTTCGTACTTTATATGGTTGACTAGACTATTTTCAATGTGCTATGAGAGGAAAAAAGTAGCTACAAACCAAGCATCTACATCCTCGCTTAATGGTAAAGAGACCATACCCACTAACAAACAGACATCCATCTAAGCCACACTCTCTTCAACAATTTCATGTCTTCTTTTACAATACAAATTCATTCCACGTCAGTCGCTTAAATCAATAATGCAAGGACATTAAGAAAAATGACCATTAAAGCATGAATAGAACACTGTTATAAATATATATCGTTGGTTGGTATAACCATCACCATTAATTTTATTATAAAATAATATACATGAATGATTATTTTGCCCTCGATGTAATTGTATTATTACAATTGTGTCATCAAAAGTTTTCTTATAAATAGGAACTTCAGTTATAATGAAAATCGTACCAAGAGAATACATTTTCGCTATTTTCTCTCTTTTCTCTCTAGTTTTATAACGAATACTAAATTATCTTAAAATATTGTAAATTTGAGTGGTTAATAGCAACACAAGTTTTATTTCAGCCACTTTAATGATATTTCAATACCAAATTCTGGAGATGGGGGTTGGAGTAAAAGGCTTATTGAGGAGTTTTTTCATTCTGGAGATGCTGCTGAAATTCGTAAAATTCCTCTGGAGATATTGGGTAAACCTGATTCTTGTATTTGGCATTTTGATTCAAAAGATCATTTTTGTGTTAAATCGGCCTATAAGATGATTTGCTTGCAAGGAGTTTTAAGAAGGGATAAGCCAGAGAGCAATTCAGGAAAAAGGGAGGAGAAAAATTTGTGGACAAGATTGTGGACTTTGGGTATAAAAAAACAAACTGAAAATCTTTCTGTGGAATTGTGTTACCAACATCCTTCCTACTGCTTGTAATCTAGTTGCAAGAAATGTGAAATTGTCAAATGTTTGTGAAGTGTGTGGAGTTGGAGAGGAATCCTTGGAGCATTTGCTTTTCTTGTGTGAAAGAGCAAAAAAAAAAAAAATACTATGTAGAAACCATAAGACCAAATCATGCAGGAGTTGGGAAGAACCACATAGGCGCAGGGAAAGTCTTTTTCATCTTCTTGATATCACATGGATAATAGCATGGCGACACAGTCTTATTCTCATAATCGAAAATGCCAATGTCATGGCCGCCCGTTGGGTAGTCCTCAATCAGTCCGTCTTCTACTCCATCCGTGAAGTAAATGGAATTGGACTTGAGCTCCGCGAACTCCGCCACCCCCAACGCGAATGCATCGCTCTGGAAGCCAACAAAAAGAGCAAAGCCATCTAACGACTTGACGTACTTAACATCATCCTCATCCTCAGGGTTAAATATTTTAACAGCAAAATCAGTAGTCAAACACGGAAGACCTCGTTTGATGATCTTCTTAGACGGGTCATTGCCGTCAGCATACAATCCATCAAAATCAAATGCTACAACTACGTATTGAGTCACCAGGAGGAGATCTTGATCCTGCCCGGCCACTACCAGATGCTCCACTGGCTCACACGTTAACAACAAGTGCTTCTGCTTTTTATACCTAATTCGTCCACTCCTCTGACCAACCTCGGCTATCTTCACAGCTCTCGGTGAGTGAGGGTCCCGAAGATCCCAAGATTCCAATACGCCTTGTTTTGTGAGGCTAAACAATGCTTCATGTCTTGTGGAGTAGACACAATCCATATAGCCCTCGCGGAAGGCCCGTCCCAAATTTTCATCAAACCAGTGGTGATCCCCGATGTGGGTCCACTCCTTGCTGAACCCGGGGCAGCAGAAAGCCAGTGCACATACGTTGTTGTAGATAATGATGGCTCGACAATTTGGTTCTTCCGGGGAGCACGAGAGTACGACCTTGTTGACTTCAGCCAAGTTATCAGGGTAATCGGGCAGATCGCCAACGGAAGGGAGGTTTATACGGCGACGGGAGATGGGATTATACAGGAACAGATCGCGGCTGGGGCTCATCAAAGCTAGCCAGCCGAGTGAAGATCCCGCGAACACCATGAGCGGGTCCGCTAATTCTCTTTCTTCCAGACTATGGGTTACGATTTTATTATCGGCGAGGCTGTAGAAGTTGTAGCTGATGCTGGCGTCGCCGGTGAAGGTCACGTCAATGGAGGGCGGCAGCATAAGCCAAGGAGATGATGAAGAGGATGATGGGTGGATTTGTCTCATCGGCTCGGCCAACGTGCTCATGCCTTTCGGATAAAAGGTGTTAAACCTATACCTGCAAAATTCGACAGAAGAAAAAGTCGGATAATTAAATAATCTGGAAAACCATTTCCGACCAATCGAACGGGCGATTGAGAATGAAGAAGCCATCGATGGATAAACTTCGAAGTCAAAAGAGCCGCCTCCTACTTGTATCTTATATATATGGCGTCGCCGGTGATAGTTTTGAGATAACTGACCCACTTAAACTTATTATTTTAAACTACATTATTTGTGTGGCCCAATCTAAATTTTATTTTCAATTTTAATTAATAATTGTATGAATATCATATTTTTTGTGATATAAACAAATGGTCATATGCTATAAAGAATAATAATCTGTAAACTATTATTTGTATGGTGAAATAAATTTTATTTTTATTATGATTGCATTTAGTTAATAAAATATTACAATAAATGTATTAAAATAAAATTGGGATCTACATCTTGTTCTTGTGGAAAATATTTTGTGTAATTGACTTGATGATCCAAATTTGAATTCAAGCATTCAAAGCATACTTGTTTACAGAGCCTGCAGACACCCATTCCCCCATAGTCTGGCTTAGCGTCCAACCAATACAATTTACTCCGAGTGCAATTGGATACAAATCCAACCGGTTTTGACCAATTTTGTTTGGTCAAAGTGAGTTAAAGTGATTTATTTTAAACAAAAACCTTGTGGAGTTCTCTTGAGATTTTTCTACATCTACTTTCACTGCATTTTTGTGTTAGTTTAATAACATATAATATACTGATAATAGGTTTTGAATTATGCTTAGTTTATTTTATTAAAGATAATTTTTGTAATTTGCATTGATAAAATTGCAATTTATTTTGTACTCATTTTAAATTTTTATATTAAGTAAATGATAAAATTGCATTTTCTTTGGTACACATTTTAAATTTTTTATATGAATTAAATGGACCTGTCTTCATGGCACGGCGAGGGATATAATGTAAAAGTTGAAAAGTTTGAACACTTGCCATTTGCCAATAATGTCAAAATTTGGTTTACCCAACAAGTTATATAAATCATAACCATTATATTTATCAACAATTGAACAAATAAATGCATGATTTGATTGATTTATAGTAAAGATTATTTTGAGATTTTCGATATAACCACTAATTATAGATCCCTACATATGATAAACAATCGATGTATTCCATCAAATTTACTTAAGACTTCATCATTGACTCGAACTCTTTGAAAATCTTTTAGATTAAATCTATTTAGTCGGCCGAAAACCTCAAGACGATAGTCAGATGGCGTCGACAGCTTTCTCTTCTACGATGACCACCGCACAATCTTCTGCTTTGATCTGTCGGAAAACGATGAAACATGCTTCAACATTGTTGAGGTTTCCGTCTAGCCTTTTGAGTGTCAGATCTTACAATTCCCTTTTGAGGTTCACCCCCACCCCGCTCGTTAGGTTCCCGTTTCTCGTGCAGAATGATGACGGCACACTGTCGTATGGATCCTCTTGTTCCAGTATCCCACCCACCATCCCACTCCCAAAACTTGAGTACGATGATTAATGCTAATGTGCCGAAAACCAAAAGGTCATCTTCCACATCGCCTTGGCTGATGCTGCCACCTGTTTTCGGAGGCAATAACAAGTTAGACATGTTTTACCAGTTTTACAGCCTGGGGTTGGACAGAGTATTAAGTGTCCCCAAGAGGTCAATACCATCATATGAGAATGATAATTTGGAGATTGTGGGATCGTCTCGGGGTTGGCTTGCTCTTTTTAACAAGGAAAATTACTGTGACCTCTTCCTCTCCAATCCTCTCACCGGACGTCACGTAAAGCTTCCATCCCTCGACTCATTGTCCTCCCAAGAAAAAAAATGTAGACAACGTTGTCATCTCATCCGACGACCCATTTGAAGAAGACTGCCGAGTCTTGATCACTTGCACTTCAAATGATAGATTGGCTTTCTGCTGCCCTGGCCACACCAACCCCGTGTGGACCCGAATAGGAGACCCTTCCACCTCATTTCAATTTGACTCCATAACGTATTCGAGCAGGCAGAAGCTCTTCTTTTGCGCCAAAGGGCCGTCTGGTAGAACCGACCACATCGAGGCTTGGGACCTCTGTGACCCCCTTTCCCCCAAAATGGTTCCCCTGCCTCCTGTGACTGTGGACAAACATAATTACCCGGTTGCATCCCACTCGGAGTTAGAGTCGAAACTCAAGCATCTATGCGGATACGATGCCGTGTTCCTCGTGCTCCCCGAGCATACGGAGGAGCTTTTCCAAGTGCGGCAATACGTGTTGCACCGAATGGGACCTGATGGCTCATTTGCCGATGATGTCTATTATGAGGGGAATTCTGATTCTGATGAAAGCCCGCACAAGACGGTTGGGTTTGATGTTCACAAGTATGACCCAAAGACGGGAAAAAAGGTTTATATGGATCGTACCTTGGGTGGGTTGGCACTATTCGTAGGCCCCCAGGAAGGCTTTGCTCTGTCTGCTGACGAGTACCAAGGGTTGAAGCCCAACTCCATTTACTACACCGACATGTATTATTTAGATCGGTATGGAGGCCATGACATCGGCATATTCAACTATGAAAACGAGACTTTCTCGCCATGCTATTATCCATGTGACTTGAAGAGCATGATGACCAAGATTGTGCCCAATCCTATTTGGTTTAGGCCATCCCCTTGTGCATTCATTTAGATTCCTGCCTTTATTCTATTTAATGATTTTTCTCTGTTTATGCCACTATTGACTGGATTATATGTCTATAATGACGAATTCAAAGCTTATGTTTCCTACCATGCATCTTCTTTTTCTTTTGTCAAGATTAGTATAATTAAGTAGACTCTACCATGTGATCATCCCTGTCTCAATATACCTGTCTTTCTTTGGGATTGACCATGATTACTTGTGTTCTGCAATGAGAAGTTGGTAGTACTAATTAAAGGTATTTGATTTATTATTCTGTTAATGTGGGTGGGAAATGTGGACTTATGTTTGTCATCACAGAATAATTGAGCCGAAGCCCTGATTCGATCAAGGCACCCGATTCAGGAAATTTTCAGTGTTTACTTGTACGACCCAAGCACATGCTCACCTGTTTACTTGGAACATTCCTGGTATGGGAGGAAATTCTACTTCTACTGCTATTGTCTTAGAACCTTATGTAGTTACGCTTTTGTGCTCTATAGTTTGTATTTGACTATGGTTATAAAAACTAGTCGTCAACTCAATGTGAACTTTAATTAATTAAAACATGCACTGAAATCTGAAAACTGTCTAATGTAAACAGAAGAAACTTATTTAAAGAATTTAACGAGTTAAGCACAAATGAAGTATTACTTATTATTAGTATTATTATTATTAATAATCTCATGTTTTGTTTTGGTTGTTTATCACTTAGCTCATGACTGTTATTTAGTTTCTTAGGGGGCGATTAGATATAATTTCAACAGTAAAAAAAACCAATAAAAACTTAAATTTAGCTCAACTTTAACTCAACTTCACTATTTCCAATATTATCAATATAATTATATAATATCAACCAATCATTCTTACACATCACATCAACTTTAATTTACTATTCATCCACTCACATAATTTTAACTAACCATCACTTCCAATCATTTTTCTCCTACTTTATATCAAATCAACTTTAATTGTTTTATTTAAATATTATTTTAATATATTTACTAACAACTAACCATACCACTTTTTTTAAAATTAACTATAGTTAAAAAACAAACCAAATAAAAACTAGTTAAATTCATAAACAATCACCTCCTTATCAATTACTCCAAAAAAAAACCAATCAAAACTCAAATTTAACTCAACTTTAACCCAACTCCACAATATCTAATGTTATCAATATAATTAAATTATATCAACCAATCATTCTTACACATCACATCAACTTTAATCCACTATTTATCCTCTCACATAATTTTAACTAACCACCAATTTCAATCATTTTTCTCTTACTTTTACATCATACCAACTTTAATTGTTTTATTTCAAATATTATTTTAATATATCCACTAACAACTAACCATACCAACTTTTTCCAAAATTAACTATAGTTAAAAAAAATCAATTAATTACTAGATGAATTCATAAACAATCACCCCCTAAAGGCGTGTTTGGATTTAAATATATATACTCTAAACGAGTTTTGTCGGTTATTAAGAGTTAATTTTGTTTTTTTGGTTAATTAGAATTAATTTAAAAATAAAATGGTATAATTAGTTGTTAGTTAGATTTTGATTTTATATTAAAATAATATTTAAAATTAGATAATTAAAGTTGATTTGATATAAAAGTAGAAGATAAATGATGTGAAGTGATAATTAGTTAAAATTATATGAGTTGATCAAATAATTAAAGTTGATTTGATATAAAAGTAGAAGATAAATGATGTGAAGTGATAATTAGTTAAAATTATATGAGTTGATCAATTAATTAAAGTTGATTTGATATAAAAGTAGAGAAGAAATAATGTAAAGTGATAGTTAGTTATTATATGATTTGATCAAATTGATTGGATATGTAAAAGGATTGATTGATATAGTTAATTATATTGTAGATATTGTAGTTGATTTAAAGTTGAATTAGATTTTGTATATGAATTGAATTTATTTATATATAATAAACTCTAAATGCTCAAATTTTACACGTAACGAGGGGTATCTTCATTTGTGATTTTTAAAAACTTTTTAAAACTTAATCTTGTTGTATTTAATTTAGATTTTTAAATCTTTTAAAAGTCTTGGTGTATTCATTTGCAATTTTGAATTTTAAAAAGTCTTAAATAAAATCATGAGCTATAATCTAGGGCGGAAACCGCCTGCCGGTCGTACCACGTTATCAAGGGGGTGCGATCTTCGGCTATGATTTTGCGGCCGCATGGATGACCTGGTCCCTAAGTTGGGTGAGGTTCCAGCTTTCGTACTCCTAAGCTGAGTGCTTAACGAAAGCTGATGCCCGAGCAATTCGCCTCTGACCATCAAATGAAATGTGAATAACCCATCCTCCTCTCTTTGAAAGAAGGGGCGCTTCCGGTTCTCTCGGTGCTTGAAACAATTTTGTCTTCTCCATATTACTATATCTCTAGAGTCAATAATTTGATATGAGGAACTACTGAACTCAATCACTTGCTTCCGTTACTCTTCAGTTTTCTGTTGAGGTCTATCCTGTAGAGGTACTCAAATTGGATCAGTGATCGATTTCTAGGTTTCGTAAGACTTTTTAAGATTTATTAGGATTTTCATTTAAAAATCTTTATACGATCTATAAATCTCACTAGGGCTAGCCCGTTTAACTTGGGTTGGGTGGTGTATATATTTTTAGATAGATAAGGAATATGTCTCATGATTCTTTCTATATTACAATTTTGCTATTCTACTTCACATGTAATTATTAGTTATAATGTATTATTATTATTTTGATAGATAATCATTAACAAATTTTATTCTATTTCACAACAAAATATTTAAGCCAATCATAATGGCTAATAAAAAACAAATGAGACAAATACCTAACACAGAATATAGTGATATAATATAAATTCAGCAGTATGCTATATCGTGAAAATTTCCGAAGCGCACCAGATAACTAGTCAAATGGTAGTTATAAGTAATAGTTCGAACATTTTTTTTTCTATTGAGAAACAATATGTTATTTAAGAGTTTGTAGTGTGTGTTAATATATGAAGTGTAGTTGTATATATATAGTGGTAAATATTAAATAGCCGTTGAAAAAACTCGTTAATTAGGTGTTGTATTATTATTATTATTATTATTATTATTATTATTATTATTATTATTATTATAGCCTGTTTAGCCCGAAGTCCGCTAGGTTTAAAGTTTGATCATTTTATCGGTAGCCCGTTTAAATCCGAACTTTTTAGGTTGGACCGTTCAGCCCGAAGCCCACTAGGACTAGCCCGTTTAACATATATAATTGAAACAATATAAATCAAATTTCGTACTTTATGTGGTTGACTAGACTATTTTCAATGTGCTATGAGAGGTAAAAAGTAGCTACAAAGCAAGCATCTACATCCTCGCTTAATAGTAAAGAGACCATACCCACTAAGGCACTAACAAACAGACATCCATCTAAGCCACACTTTCTTCAACAATTTCATGTCTTCTTGCAATACAAATTCATTCCACGTCAGTCGCTTAAATCAATAATGCAAGGACATTAAGAGAAATCACAATTAAAGCATGAATAGAATCCAAAATTATCTTAAAATATTGTAAATTTGAGTGGTTAATAGCAACACAAGTTTTATTTCAGCCACTTTAATGATATTTCAATACCAAATTCTGGAGATGGGGGTTGGAGTAAAAGGCTTATTGAGGAGTTTTTTCATTCTGGAGATGTTGCTGAAATTCGTAAAATTCCTCTGGGGAATTTGGGTAAACCTGATTCTTTTATTTGGCATTTTGATTCAAAAGATCATTTTTCTGTTAAATCGGCCTATAAGATGATTTGCTTGCAAGGAGTTTTAAGATTGTGGACAAGATCATTTGCTTGCAAGGGATAAGACAGAGAGCAATTCAGGAAAAAGGGAGGAGAAAAAGCTGTGGACAAGATTGTGGTCTTTGGGTATAAAAAAACAAACTGAAAATCTTTCCGTGGAAGTGTATTACCAACATCCTTCATACTGCTTGTAATCTAGTTGCAAGAAATGTGAAATTGTCAAATGTTTGTGAAGTGTGTGGAGTTGGAGAGGAATCCTTGGAGCATTTGCTTTTCTTGTGTGAAAGAGCAAAAAAAAAAGTACTATGTAGAAACCATAAGACCAAATCATGCAGGAGTTGGGAAGAACCACATAGGCGCAGGGAAAGTCTTTTTCATCTTCTTGATATCACATGGATAACAGCATGGCGACACAGTCTTATTCTCATAATCGTAAATGCCAATGTCATGGCCACCCGTTGGGTAGTCCTCAATCAGTCCGTCTTCTACTCCATCCGTGAAGTAAATGGAATTGGACTTGAGCTCCGGGAACTCTGCAACCCACAACGCCACTGCATCGCTCTGGAAGCCAACAAAAAGAGCCAAGCCATCTAAAGAATCCACGTACTTAACATCCTCATCCTCAAGGTTATATTTTTTAACATCAAAATCAATAGTCGAACTCGGAAGGCCTCGTTTGACGGTCTTCTTAGACGGGTCGCAGCCATCGACATACAATCCATCCAAATCAAATGTTTCAACTACGTATTGAGTCACCACGAGGAGATCCTGATCCTGCCCGGCCACTACCAGATGCTCCACTGGCGCACACGTTAACAACAAGTGCTTCTGCTTTGCGTAACAAATTTTGCCACCCATCTCACCATCCTCGGCTATCTTCACAGCCCTCGGTGAGTGAGGGTCCCAAAGATCCCAAGATTCCAATACACCCTGTTTCGTGAGGCTAAACAATGCTTCGTGTCTTGTGGAGTAGACACAGTCCCTATAGCCCGGGCGGAAGGACCGTCCCAAATTTTCATCAAACCAGTTGTGATCCCCGATATGTGTCCACTCCTTGCTGAACCCGGGGCAGCAGAAAGCCAGCCCATGTACGTTGTTGTAGATAATGATGGCTCGACAATTTGGGTCTTCTGGGGAGCACGAGAGTACGACCTTGTAGACTGTAGCCAAGTTATCAGGGTAATCGGGCAGATCGCCAACAGAAGGGAGGTTTATACGGCGACGGGAGATGGTATTATAGAGGAACAGATCGCGGCTGGGGCTCATCAAAGCTAGCCAGCCGAGTGAAGATCCCGCGCACACCATGAGCGGGTTTGTTAATTCTCTATCTTCGAGGCTATGGGTTACGATTTTATTGTCGGCGAGGCTGTAGAAGTTGTAGCTGATGCTGGCGGCGCCGGTGAAGGTCACGTCAATGGAGGGCGGCAGCATAAGCCAAGGAGATGATGACGAGGATGATGGGTGGTTTTGCCTCATCGGCTCGGCCAACGTGCTCATGCCTTTCGGATAAAAGGAGTTAAACCTATACCTGCAACATTCGAGGGAAGAACAAGATTCAATCATCCGTACAATAGGATAATTAGATAATCCGGCAAACCATTTCCGACCAATCGAACGGGTGATTGAGAAGGAAGAAGCCATCGATAGATAAACTTCGAAAGTCAAAAGAGGGACAATCTAATCGCTACCTCCTACTTGTGTCTTATATATGCTTTTAATCTAAGCCCTGCCTGTGTACATTCCAGACCCAGTTCTACTGTCTTATAGTTTTGTGATAAATGACCCACAACCATGTTTGTTTATGGAATTTTTCAAAAAAATTCCAACATTTTATCTCAACTACTTTTTTTAACTCAACTTTAACTAAACCTCACTATCATCAAAATTATCAATATAATTAAATAATATCGATCGATCATTTATACACTTAATTCACTATTCATCCACTCACATTATTTTAACTAACCATCACTTCAATCTCTCTCTCCTACTTTTACATCAAATCAATTTTAATTATTTTATTATAAATATTATTTTAATGTACCCACTAACAATTAATCATACCACATTTTTCAAAATTAACCAAACCAAACCAAAAATTCCAAACAAACCAAAATTTTTTATAAACAAACATTAAAGTTATTATTTTTAACAGATTACTTGTGCTGAATTATTTATTTATTTAAAAATAAACAAAAATAACTGGACAAAAATAAAAAAAAAAAAAAAACAGGGTGGAAATAAATCAAACACACGTATTCTGAAAATACGTTTTTAGTTATAAAACGTATTTTAGAAATACGTTTTAAAAATAAACCGTATTCCTGAAATACGGTTTCAGTTAATATGATTAATTAAGATAATTACCTTGATATAAAACGTATACCGTAAATACGTTTTTCTTTATAAAAAATTAATACGTATTTTCGAAATACGTGTTATAATTAAAATTAATTTTATAATTATTTTCGAGTTATAAAACGTATTTTCACAATACGTATTTTAAATGAAATGAATTTTTAGAATTTTGAAAATACAATTTTGATGGACAAAATAATATAAAACATAAAACGTATTTCCGAAATACGTTTTTTGTACAATTTTTCCCCCAAATTCAATTTTGCCCCAATTCAATTTTGCCCTAAATTGATTCATATATAAACGTATTCTAAAAATACGTTTTATAAACAAAAAAATAAAAAACGTATTCCCAGAATACGTTTTAAACTGCAGAAAAAACAAAATTTTTGAATCCATTTGAAGAAACCAACCTGTTCAACCAACATACACATATCAATCAACGCAACATACACATATCAATCAACCCAACATACACATATCAATCAAC